AATCTAGCAAGACAGAAAACATGTCAACAACTACCATATTAATAAATTCTTTAAATATTAATATTTATGACTCAAAGATTATTATTGATTAAGAATGCCAAACTCTGTGCTTCTACATATATCCATGCAATAGTAGCATGATAAGGCAATAATCAATGAGAAATTACATTCTTAGATCACCTCAAAATCCTGAAAAAATCTCCACAAAGCCCAACATTAATCTCATAGCTTTAATTTGGATCTAATCATCCAAAGCAAATCGTCTATAAAATTAATCTCAAAGCCCAAAACTACTATATTCATCCATTACGAGTGGGAGTGAAATGATCCATCCAAACGTTCTTTAAAAGAAAAGTGCCCCAACAAACAAACCTCCGATCAACCAAAGGACCAGAATATCCGTAACTAAAAAGCATTCATGTCTTGCACGGATCTTGGAGATGAAGTGTTTGCCTCGTATATTTTTTAGTTTGTCAAAAGGTACCATATTTACCATCATCCAAACAACCATAAATGTAAGTCATAAAAGCCAAAAACCCATTGAAAAAAATACTTCCGATATCTTATTTTCTTCAAACTTTCTTGCTAACTTGAGCAACGGAGTGTCTTACATAGGGAATATTCTTAAAAAAAAACTCAACTTTTGCTTTAGTTAAATTACATACCCAAAAAAAGTCAAGCAAAGTCAAATCATTTCCAACATATAGATTATGATTGTTTGCAGGAAGGCTTCCTTTCAAATTGAACGACTATTTTATGGCTAATCAAAGTGTATGCATGAAATAGAAGGTATCTCTCCTTCACCAAAAAGAATGAAACACTTAAAGAATCAAGCACTACGAAGCCAAGCATTAGTCCCTTCATAGCTTCGCAAGTAAAAAAAAAATGCACACGCCTTAGTCCTTGCAGAGGCAATTATGCTCCTTTAGAAGATCGTGTATGACCAATGGAAGAGGCACAACTTTAAATGTTATGCCATCTAAAAAAATTATTACATTGCAAGTTTCATACAACATTTTTTCCTTTAATTTGATGAGCATTGAAAATCGTTGTTCCTCAAATGCCCATGAGGCCTTAAGGAGAAACTTCTTAAGAGAATTTCACTCAAAACCATTTTACTCTCCCTTAATGTAGAACTCATTTTTGAACATATACATAACTTGGTCATTGCATTGAAGCCAAAATTATCATAGATGAGGTGATCAAGGCACACTATTAATAATTCTTCCAATTTGCGGATTAAAGGAAGAACTAATAAGAGTTGCCAAATCAAAGCTCTCGGCACAAAAAAAAGGATATCTAATACATAACAGCTGTACTCCTTCAAGATATCATCAACAATAGCAATAACAATAACAAAAAAATTACATCCTTAATAAGAATACGAGCCTCTTAGCATGTCCCATACTAACAACCCATTCATCATTCAGAACTATAAACTTCTCATGTAGCCCGACATGCTTAGAACAAATACAAGAAACCAATACCATCCCTTGTGGTTGCAAGAATTATGGAAAGACAAAAATCACCTAAAGAGGAGATTAAAAAGCTTATATGCAAGAACACTTCATTTAATTCCTTAAGAATGCACGCATGAATACCAATATGCCATCTGAGGGGAGGGGATTACGACCTGCTTCAATAAAGGAAGAAAATGCCAAAATGGTGGGCAAAATAGAAACTATTGCAAATTATACAAGGAAAGTGCTATTTTAAATCTCCACGATGAAATATCTCCATTATCTACCATTCACTTCATCAAAATTACCAATCCTCCATTCAAACTATAAATATCCCCCATGATTCATTGCATTACTTAAAGAAATGCTCAATTGAGCCATTTATACGCTTTCTTTCAAATTTGATTACCTTGAGTATCGGAGTGTCATTCTAGAGAAACACTCCTTGGACAAGACTCGTATTTTTTTTGGTTGTATGTGAAAGCATTGAGTGCTCGCTTTAAATAGCATAACCAAAATAACTTTATAGACTAGAGATCATTTACACAATGCAATAATATTGAACTAAATATACATCAAAATTTGCATAAACAAAATTCCATACCACATGCTAGCTCCATAAGTATAAACATAAAAAAATCAATCCCTAAATATTACTTAAAAATGCAATAATTTCTTTGACAAACAGAAAATCTTAAAAAAAATTACAAGCTCCGCGTTGATCTTGAGACATACAATCTATAAATCCATGCATGATTACTAAAGTAAGATAAAATAACATGATAAAAACCATATCGCATCTTATTAGATAGAAATTACAATCTTAAATATGCCAACACCATATTAAAATGCTCTCAATAACAAGAAACAATATTCTTTTCTTCCTTTAGATGGTACGGTAATAAGAAAGATGGTATCACCAGCGGAGGATAAAATAAAATAAAGATTAAAATTTTTTACCAAACAGCAAAAAGCATAAAGTTAAATACGTATCTGCATTAGTCTAACTACATAAGCACAATGACAAATTAAAGTTCGAGAGTTAAAAGGGAGCTCAAAATAATTCAATTAATACAAGACATTACAAATGGAGATCCCTAAATGAATAAGAATCATAAACCCGTGGAGAGATAAAGAACAGTTTACAGATAAGAATGAAAGCTTTGAGAATAAATAAATGAAAAGAGATGAATAAAATGGTTATTCCATCACAAAAGTATAAAAAAAATGCCATTGATGGTACAACAACATGGTATTAAAACCATAGTAGTAGTATGACAGACTTTATGGATGATTAATGGTCATCAACTGAGGTCGAGACAGCTTTTTCTGAGAAGAAGTAAGCACAACTTGATATTCTTCATGAGCTTTCTAAATTTTCTAACCTGCTAACAAGTAGCTTTGATGTCATGGTGGCATTAGGACCTTACCTAGGTGAATTAGAACTTATGTGCGTTCGTAGAAAGTAATATATCAAAATCTGTAACCATTTTTTTATCAAAAAAGGTAATCAAATAGAAAGTCTGGACAAAAGTACAAAAAAAAAAAAGGAGAAACGTTAAGAGGCCACATAGTCTGCTATCATCTTCCACATAATGATAATATATTATTAGAAGATAGTTTTTTTATTCACCAGCATCTTTAAATAAGAAATTTCATTTCAACTTAGCTGAAACATAGACATCACCCAAATATAGTGAAATCTAATGCCAAATAATTTGAATGTTAAAAAAAAACATATCATTTGGCAAATAACATTGAACCAAGCACATAATATTTGACATGCATAGATATAATAACTAAAAGTTCGAAATTTGGCATATGAATTAGCTAACTTTGCTAATTGCAGTCATAAAATTCAAAAAATTAAATCGACCACACTACTTTCAAACCAAGCTAAATCAAACCCAAACATTAATTTGGTGAGTTCGGTTCTTATTTGGCCAAATGAACAAAACTAAAACTAATTTTAACAATGTTCTAACAAATTTTAGCATAAATAACATATATGAATAAGAATACCAAGTACTCTTTGTTAAAATTTATATTAATTGATATGTCACCAACAAATTTTGTCATTTAGCATGAATCTTGAGGCAATTAGCTCGAACCTCGAAATATTTTTTGAGCAAAGAATATTCAAAATCAAATTAAAAATCATTCGGAACTCTGATTTTAACAAACCTACAGTCAAATTAACTGCATCGACAAGACAAACCTAAAGACATCAAAATTGACTCAATCCAAGTCAAATCAAGCCCAAATTACTTTTAAAAGCTTTGGGTGGCTAATTGGAATTTCAAACGAATTTAAATCCAGCAAGCTTATATTGGATCAAGCGTCTCGATGAGACGAATCCAATCAGCCTAATATCACTCAATTCTGATATTTTTAAGGAACTCAAATGTCCACTGGATGCCGTTCGATAAAGGGAATCCCCTCGTATTGTCCGATGGAATGGTTCAAATTTTTTCCTTGTTGGCATGCATAATTAATAATATCCATGTTAATTTTTATGCTGCCTTACTAACTTAATATTTGAAAAGAATAAACAATAGATTTTTACCTTCATCAATTTGTAAAAACTAAAACCAAATCAATAACAAAAAACAAAAAAAAGTCAATTTTATAATCAATAACCAAACCCATACTCATAAAAACTAAACAAAACCAACTAAATAAAATAAGTTCAGTTCAGTTTTTAAGTTTCATACAAACAATGCACACCCCTGCTAATAACATGATAGCCTCAACCTTAAAAAAAATGAAAGAAAGGATCAAAAGGTTATTTGACTAATTCATTAACATGTGCTATTTAAGGAATAGCAATCTAGATATCACCCAAAATATGCACATCTAAACAGTAATTTATCATAAAAATAAACATATCACATAAATTTGATAAATATCACTGAACCAAACAAAAAACATTTTTCAAACAAATACTAAAATCTTGATAACGTTGAAATAATGATAAAACTGAATCAAATAGCTCCTAAAACTCGAAAAAGCTAAAGAAGAAAAGCTATTTACCCAATCTAACCTCCACATGAAAATGAAGAGTGACCGTTAAAACTAAAACGCTGCTCAAAAACCTAAAAACCAATGAAAGGACGCTCCTATTTACAACTAAACCCGCAGCAATGAATTTCTCAAATAGAATACATAAAGCATCACAAAATTAGCATAAGACACACAATTTTACAATCCCTTCCCCAAAATCACCCTTCAAAACAAATATATCATAAAATTAAGCAACAGCCCCAAAATTAACAGAAAGCATCAGCTCCCCGCAAACAAAAACCCAAACCTCGATCAAAAGTAAAAAAAAACATAATAAAAATCCAATTTACCCGATACCTCTCCTGAGAATAATCACAAGCTACCAGAGATAAACCAGTACAAATTCACCCACTAACAATGCAAACACGAACAAAACAATTAATTACAATACTCTAACCAAACACGTTTCAAAAAAACCCTAGAAAACACAACGCACAACCAAAAAGCTCAAATGAAAGAAAACTCAAGAGATCATACCTCCTCGGCAAAAGAACGCTCGATCCCAAGAGGACACTGCGGCGATCTCAGAGCTTCCACTAGTCCGGCGACCTCCGATCGAGGGCAGGTCAGCGGCTCCGCGCAAGATCCGCGACAGAGTAACGAAGCTAGAAAGGAGAAGGGGAGCAGAAACAAGAGGAGACGGGCAGATCCCGACATTGACGGATTGAAGATCGCTTCAACGGTATATGGGGGAAGAATCGAACAGATGATTTCTCCGTTTTCCCTCCTCTCTCTCCCTCCCTTCCTCTTATACTTAGCCGGTGTTTGGATTCAACTTAAATAGATTTGTATTCAAGTACAATACATTTAGTAAATCTAAGTTTGAGGGAGCTTTGGATTTAAGATTAAATTTTTAGATCTTTGATTAAATTTAAGTTAAATTTCTTTCTTAAATCTACTTATTATCAAGTTACCAAACATCGCCTCGATAAACTCAACTTCGAGCCCGCTTCTTCTCACTTCGAGCCAGTTTGAACTCTATTATTATCGATTCACGAGTCAATTTCGATCTGAACTCAATTTTAATCTAGTCGACCCTAACTTGACTCAAAATTCACTTGTTAACAGTGCTACTTATAGGTGTGCACAAATACATATTAATTAGCATAATTCATGAATTGAGTAAATTGTTTAAATAGTTTATGGTTATTAACATTGGATCGCTTTAGCCCCGGAGTCCAAAGAAGTATTAAAATAATATTTGATTTTTTTTCAAATTGAGCCTTAATATAATTTTATGAGAAATATTTCAACCTTGATTTAAAGAACCTGAACATTATTTGGACACTTAGGGTCCGTTTGGGGCAGCTTATAAGTGCGGGCAGCGTTTTGATCAAAACGCCGCCGTACCGTTTGGTTCACGCGTTTCGCCAGCTTATCCGAAACTGTGTTTGGATTTTTACACTAAACGCAGACCTCGGGTCGACCCTTGCGGTCAGCCTGCGGGCCGCGTTTCAGGATAAGCAGCTTATCCTGAAACTCACAAGCTGCATCAAACGGACCCTTATATAAATTATCAGAGTATGTCAGTCTCATGTAAATATTGGGGGACTATTTCGACACTTTTACATTATTAATTTATAGTGTTGAGTTTATTTAATTATAATTTTCATGAAAGTTATCTTTAATATCTAAATCTAATGAAAATAATATCACATTAAATTTTAAATATTTTTAATTATTAATTTAATATTAGTATTTTATTCTGTATTTAATTTATAAAAATCGATAAAATATGAAAATGGTATATTATTTCATGTATTTATTACTCATGACATTAAAAAATAAATAAAATTTCGCCATCTCAGTATTGCAAACCAGACCCTTAAATTCTGGCTGTGTAGGGGGGGGCTTGTTTGGTAGCAAGCCGGATTTAAGGTAAAACGACATCTTAAAGACTGCAAGATTAGTTGATATATTACTAGTAACTCAGCTTCATTAAACTTCATTTATGAACATTTTTATAGATACTCGATTACTAAATGAAAAGGCTCGAACTGTTTGTTGTTTGGTTCGTTTGTATTCGTGAACAATATCATTTCAAGCTCTTGAACAAGTTCGTGAATAAGCTCAATTACAATTGGTTTATAGCATTATCATTTAAATGTTTGTTTTTTTTGTTAAACAAGTTACTTGTTAATAAGTTCGATAAGTCTCTATATGAGTCACACTCGAACATAATTGTTGAATCCTTTTAGGATGTAGAGTCTCGCATCATTCGTGAGTACGTACAACCCGATAGAGATCTTGGCACCCACATGTGGAATTAGGACGAAAGAATTGTACTGTGAGCAATGGTATGGCATTCATTTCTTGCATATGGATGGAAAGACACTCATCTCTTGTGTCTGGATTGAAAGTTTGAGGCACGAGTATGTGGTAATGTTTTAATAGAAAAATTGAAAATTGTCCAAATTAATCATGATGACGATTGTGTTATTATTAAAAGAAGATTGACATGTGACCTTGCGAGTCATGATGATCGTATGCAGTGGATGTTCCCTGCTAGTAGGCCGAATCACATATGTAGAAAGGATGAATTCAACCACTTTTGATAGGTTGGCTTGGTTTAGCTACTTCGACAGGTTCAGCTTGTATATACAAGGATAACACAAACTCGAGCTTGAACATAATTTTAAAAGCTCGAACCGTGCTCAACTTAGTTTAAATAGTGCAAATAGATGCAATTTACTTATAGAAGTTTAAATATTTATTGTAATATGCTAATCAAATAGATATTGTTGATATTTAAATATATTATAGTTTTATGCATGATGGACTAATACTTGAGGTAGTAATTAGGCAAATGAATTTCTTCATAGGCTTAAAATATTTAATGCTTTTGCATGTCAATAATAATTATTTTTTAATGAAAAATAAATCATTTTTTCATGTTTTAACTATAAAAATTAACATTTTCAAAATCAACCCGACGTTGAACCAAAAGGAGAAGGTCATGATTTGATGATTTAACTATGGTTAAATTGGGAGTAGTACATGGTGAGAAAATAACATTAAAAGTATTTAATAAGATTTAAATGATATAATAATGACACAATAATGATAGTTTTGTCAACTCAATATACAACATTTAAAATTAATACACTTCCCTCTTGATAATATTTTAAATTTAACTCTCCTCTATTTTTAATTTGATTTTTTTTTCTTAATAACAAGTTGATCAAACTATAAAAAAAAAAAAAAAATTGATAAATGATTGATAAATGATAAAATTGTGATAAATGATAAAATTGGAAAGTTATAAAATATTAGAGTGGTTCGCTGATTCAATTAGCGGTTTTAGCTGCATCTTATTAATAAACTGCTGAAAATATTTTGTTGTTCAAAAAACTGTCGTTGCTATTACAAATTTTTCATTTTTTTTTCAAAAAATCAGATCGTAGCAAGAAAGCTGCCACTGCATCTAGCAGGGAATGGTGTGAAAATGCTAATTTCAGTGGTTTCAAAAAATGCAGCCTTTTGAATAATTTCCCAAAACACAGTTTACCCAAACGGTCCTGTGTGCATTTTCAAAATGCACCGCACCAAATAAACTGCCCTAAACGAGGTGCGAAAATAATTTTGAACTTGGATCAAACTCACAGGAGGATCGTTTAGTCCAGTTTTTAAAATCTTGATTTAAATAGCTTAACAATTTTACCTAATTATTAACATTCAACATGAGCTTCAATGATGTAATGTTCTATTGCATGTAAATGAGGCATTACTATTTTATTGATGAACATTTTTTTATGGTAAAGATATGCAAAATTTGATTACTTGATGAAATTTTATTTGTTTAGGGATGAAAAGTTTTGATGGTGATTTTTTATTTATTTTACATGTAGATGATATGTGTTTTATCTTATTTTCTTCCTAAATATACAACATTTTTGGAAGATTTACAAACATACCAATCTTTCTTTTGTATTCATATATTTAACACAAATTTCAATTTTTACATATATATCATTTTATCTATGTATGAAAAAATTCATTTAACGTCTTAAACGTTAACATAATCATATTTTTTTTGTAGAGCCTTGGTCGGTATTAAGTCGAAAAGTAAAGTTTGAAAGTTATATATGTAAATACATATATCGATTGGGTGATATGTATGTAAATGGTGCAACATTTTCTTATAATACACAATTTCTTATATTCTAGCTTGCCTTGTTTGAAAATACGTAGGAAACACAATCACATGTTGTAGCCACTGCAACACGCCTTCTCCCAACGCAACGATAAGAATCGCTCGCACTATGAGGGTGTAACGGTGGGTTTAGACTATCCCGATGGTCTACCCGCAAAGTGAGCGGGACAATCACGTATTTCACATTCATAAGGATGAACGAGACGTGTATATCAACCATACTCATGACGAGTAGGAATATATATTAGAAGATTTCAGTTTGACAGGAAATGCCTAACTGCCAGACCATCATCTCACCCATCAATCACAACTGTTTGGGGGGCCTAAATCTACAAAAATGCCTTGTGGTGGGGACCACTATTTTTAAAATCTTCCCGCATTTAAGTCAGAGCAAAGCTTAATCTCCACACGTGTCAAATTTTGAGCGTGTCATGTGCCAATGGTAGCTGACCCTAAAAACCTTTTTAACCTAACTTATAATAAATATATGTAGACAGACATATTTATATTTTAATTATTTAGTGAAATGGACCTTACATGCAATCAAAAACTGCAACAACTTATAGTGGGGCCCGCTCCCGATGTCCCACTCTATTAAACCACATTATTACAACTCAATATCATATGTGATGTGTCATTTTTATCATATGACATCATTGCATTTAAATAATAATAATAATAATAATAATAATAAAATAAATAAATAAATAAATAAATAAAATGATTTAAATGCATCCCACTCAATTCATGCATATTTACATGACGAACACCTATTAGTTTATCATACATGCCACGCCTATATTGGGTGGTACATTAGTTGTGATATAAAAGATTTAGGTGATATAAATATAAAAATATAATATTTTAAGTGTTAGATATGTGGAAAATATAAGAATTGTGTGGTGTGCATGTAAATGTCCCTAAATAATGATACCAAAAAGGAGAGAGTTATGGCAGCTTGGGCTGTAAACAAGCCGAGCCTGGGCGAGCACAGGCTGGGCTCGGGGTTCGGCTCGTTCGAAATTAATAATAATAATTTTTGAATTCTCTGGACATCGGTATGTAATCTATTTTTTTTAAAAATTAATAATAGAATTTATTTATTATTAAAAGTTAATAATTATGAAATATATTTAAATTAAACTCATCATATTATAAATGAATTATATTGCATAAAATTATTATTGAAGGAAATAATGAATATCAAATTCAAATTAATGAGATGAATTATTCAATCCTAATGTTTTATCAAAAATAATGAGTGTTGCATCTTATCACAACAAAATTAAACATGTAGGCATTGATAATTTCAAAAAAATTATAGATAATATTTTTGAAATTATAGATAATATTTTTGAAATTTATTGGATCAATTAATTCTTTCTTTAAAATTCATCACATGATTATTCCAACTTTTAATCAAACATATGCAAAGATCTAAGTTTTAATAACATGATACAAAGTAAAACTTCACATGATAAGTTGCATTAATATTATTTCAAGTTAGGCATGAAAAATAAAAATAAAAATAATAAAAATAGATAAAATAAAATTTTATTGCTTTAGGATCATAAACAACAAAGAATCAAATGAAAGCATATGATAATTTACTTTACAAAATAAAATAAATAAATAAAATAAACTTAATGAGACGACATCTTTAAGCTGAACCTAAGATATTGATAAATATCTCCTATTGACAAACATGTTATATTCATGCACCCATTCGCAAATATCACTGCAAAATATTCTTTTCACGTGGTTTTCACTTAACCATCTATTGTCACCTTCCAAAGATCGTTTTCCACATGACAAATTGTCGCAATGATTAACTGACAATGCAGACAATTTATCCCATTTCATTTTCATGAAAATATTTGATGTTTCTTCTCGACACTGATGTATTTTATTCGAGATCTCATTCAAAAGATAAACGCCATACCACCGAGTTGACTCTTCACGTAGCAACACTAAGCCCGCGATATATTTGGACAAAACATGCCCTCCACTTGAAGCTATTTGGAGATAATGTAATCCAACATCAACTCTTTCTCGAATCAACAACTCCTCCTACAATGTTTAGATATTTGTATTAATGGGCATTATTTTATAATATACAACTATAATATAAATGAATGTTGAAAATTGTATTATTAAAATTTAATAAATGATAATCGCTTACCAATCCAAGCCAAAAGAGAGCATCACTATTTTTGCAATCAGCACAACTCCGAATAAAGCTTAGATATCCTTGCTTATCCTGCCAACTCTTTTTCCAATCTTCAACGATCATGTATTTTCCTACTCTTTTCGATGAACATGCGACATGAAAATTCTTGCATCTGTAGAGAAATCAATATTATGATTAAATATATCATAGTTATTTGAAAGAAAAAATATAACAAAATAGTAAAAATGATAAGTTGATAATAAATAATACTTACATTTTTCGAAAATCTCTAATATCTTTGATAGGTGATGAAGATGTAGAAATAGTTTTTAGCAAAATTTCCTCCAAAAGGTCAGGTGGAAGCGAATAAATGGGAGTCTCACTTGTTGCTTTCTTGAAGTTCTTGTTTTTCATGCTTGGTCCAACCTGATTCGTTAAAATCTTGCTATTTTTAGAAAATGAAGATGAAAATTATAAGGTTAATGTTGAATAATTTTTGTGATAATTATAATGTAGAATGAAATTCTTGTTTTTCATCTGTTATTAGTGTGTCAAAAATCATATTTAATTAATGATCTAGTTGTCATGATATTCACCTTTCATTTATATTAAGATTACTAATTAATTACATATAACACATTAGATCATCCTTTAATAAAATTTAATAATTTTATATTATTTGTAAATATTATAGTCGGTGCATGATTATTTCCTTTTATATATTATATGTATATATAATTGATTAGTAGTATTTCGAGCCAAAACGATTCGTGTTCGGCTCGTTAACTTAGCGAACTAGCCGAACACGAGCTTCTTAACAAGCCGAACACGAGCAGTTCGCGAAGAACGAGCCGCTTTGACTGGAACGAGCCGTTTTGACTGACCTAATGGAGCGTGTCACAAAATTTGAAAGGATTTTGGTTGGCAAAATAAGGTTATGGATGTAACATCTATCCAGACCCATCTTTGACTAAAACTGATCTTGGCTTTTAGTGCTAAGAATATGTAAAAACATGTTCCACCAAAATCTTTGCAGAACATATTTTACACTTCAAATCCTATAATATTCATGATAACTATTGAAATAAAAGTGTGCATGGAACAATCATTGCAAATAGATTACATAGCTCTAAATAAACTTCAAATATAAATTTATACATATTGAAAACCTTTTATTTTAGTTATACACATATCTCATGCCTAAACTTGTATATTCACACACACAACACTCGAATCCTTAATATTACATTAAAAATACCAAATTTAAACTCTTTTTAAAACTAGTGAAATACATATTTTCATTATCGTTCTAAAGCCCCAAATTGCTATATATGTAAATATGAAACTTTAAATGTACTATAAATATTTTCATTGTAGGTCTAAACCCAGTCGATCTAATTGGTCCTATTGGTCTGAGGACATACAAGCTCAGCCAAATGGGCCATATAACAACCGAGAAATAAACTCATAAATATAAAATATCTAAAATGCACTATACAACCCCAATTAAATTAGAAGCAAAAATGTAGCATCCCCATATTATACAATCTGCAAAGTAAATAGGAAGATCATTTCATGAATAAGACACGACATATTACTGTTCATTAGTGTTCACTCCTCTGTATGTGTGTGTGTTTCCTTATGCTCTATTCTTTGGGTGTGATTCACCGACAAATCAGGATTCAAATATGTACAATGGTTTAAGGTTTAATAATATGATCTAAAGTCAAACTTATCATAATAAACTATATTAATGATATATCTTGTTAGGCATGACAAATATAAAAATTAATATAAATAGGAAAAAAAAATTTCATTACATTCAGGATCATAATCAACCAAAGATTCAAATGAAAATACATGATAGTTTACTTAAAAAGAAAAACTCATTCATGCATCTTGTTTAAGTTGACCTTTGATCTAGTGGTTTAGAGATCTACTTCTATCCTTGATGCTATAAATCTTAGCCCCTACTATATCATGTTGATGAATATCATATATTGACAAACATAATATATTCATGCCCCCGTTTACTAATATTACTGTAAAATCTTCTTTTCCACAAAGGGAGTAACAAAGAAAGAAAGAGAGAGAGAGGGAGAGGAGGAATTGTCCCGTCGAGGCGATGAGATGTTCCCAGGCTCTTGGACCCATTTTATTTTACTTAAAATACATTTTCTTGTAAAAGCCTTTTTACACGAACATACCCTCCTATATAGATCAAATTCAAATATTAATTAGCCGTTATGTTAATATAAATTCAAATATATAAAGTGGAGGCATGCAAAATAAGGTAGCGTAGAAAATAGTATATAAATTTGTGCAATTGGAGAAAATAAAATCGGCCAAGTAAAAAATAATAATTTATAAAATTTTGGATAGGTGTAGACTAATTTTTTTAAAAAAATTGAAATAACAATATAAAATATATTTATTTTAAAAAATTTAATTATTATGAAAATTTATTTTAATTAAATTTTAATGAGAGCTTGATTCAAAACATTAGCTTAAATTATCAACTTATTCATGTAAATTTTAAAGGATAAAAAATAGGATTAACATAATAAACACACTCATCATATTATAAAAAAATTATTTTCAAGAATTCAAAGATATTTATAACGTATAACTAATTAATAAAAAATTTATTTCTATTACCTTAAAATAAATTTAATATATTTATTATATTTTCTCATAAGAAATTCTAACAGCCAATTCTTGATTGATCAAAAAGTTTTTCTTCTATAAATAAATCCTTAATTTCTACATTAAAAAAAAAAATTGGTGTATTTAATTTCTAAATTGATGTATTAATGTATTAAAATATTTAAACCACAAAACTCAACACCAATTTAATATATTAAATAAAATTTTAATTATTTTGATGGCCATGATTATTTTAAGTGAATTTATTTTAGTGTTTTATTTATTTATTTAATATTTACCAAAATAAACGCATATAATATCTTCTCCTAAATATTACTATAAATACTCTAAAACATATTCAGCTCGAGCTCTAATAATATTTCGACAATATTTACTATATTTGGTATATATTTTTGTTATATTATATGTTGAATTAGTTGATATTTATGATATGTAATTTATCATCTATGTTTCAATTGGGAAAGGGATATCATTCATCAACTAAATTATATTTTATTTTTTGGGGTCTAAAATCTAATTATCAGAATGAACATAACAGTATATTTTAGCTAAAATTTCCTTAATATATATTATATCTATATTGAAATTCCTGAATGACATTTTCAATTTAAATTTATTCTTTTATTTAAATAAGAATTTAACATTGCAAAAATTCATATCCCAATTTAAAGCCAAATTATGATTAAAATAACGTTTTGATAAATAATATCATGATTATTTAATATTCCACACATATATACATAGATAGATAGATAGACATATATATGTATGTATGTAGGGGTGTAAACGAGCCGAACACGGGAGCTCGTGTTCGGCTCGTTTATATTTCGAGCTCAAAAAATGTGTTCATGTTCGCTCATTTGCTTAACGAGCCGAACTCGAGCTGTTCACGAACAAAGAGTCATTTTAACAACCCTAATCATGTAGCCATAAGACAATAAAGATTTAAGCAAGATTTAATAATTATTATTTATATTAAAACATCATTTGAATCTAATTTAATAATTTTTATTATATTTTCTTAATCAATATTTTAATTGGTTATAAATTCAATTAAATTTTTTTAAAATACTACTTTTTATATATATATATGGGTTTTTTTTCCTTTTTGAGTTTGTATAGGATATATATATATATATATATATATATATAAATATATATATATCCGCAATCAGCACATTTCTGTATGTATGTATGCATTCTCCAATCTTCCACCTCCATGTATTTTCCAATTATTTTTTATGAACATATTGCATGAAAATTCTTGCATCTATACACAATTAGCTTTATATTATATTTTAGTTAGATGAATAAAAAGAATTGGAACATTATTAAAAATTATAATTTTTATTAAATAATACTTACGTCCTTGGAAAATAATATTGAGTATCTCTGATAGGTGATGGAGATGCAGAAAGAGCGGCTACCAAAATTTTCTCCATAAGTTTCCATGTTTACTCATATTTGTGCAGCTGCAACTTATTAATAAGCTGTTGAAAAATAATTTATTGTTTAGAAAGTTCCAGTGACCACAGCTTTCTAGCTGCCACCACACCTAGCTAGGAATGAAGTGAAAACACTGATTTCAGTAATATGAAAATGCAGTTTTTTGAATAATTTGTCAAAACACAATTTACCCAAACGGGTATATTTTATATTTTGTTTTTTTTTCATTAATTAAATTAATCATAATAATAAATTTATATTCTTAACTTTGTGCAATAATATTGAACAAAGTATACATCAAAATTTGTATAAACAAAATTTCATACCACACTCCATAAGTATAAACTTATAAAATCAATCCCTCAATATTACTTAAAAATGCAATAATTTCTTTGAAAAACAGAAAATTTAAAAAAGAATTACAAGCTCCTCATTGATCTCGGGACATACAATCTATAAATCCATACATGATTTTCTAATGCATAACATGATAAAAACCATATCGCCTCATTTTAGTTAGAAATTACAATCTTAAATATGCCAGCACCATATTAAAATGTTCCCAAAATATTGTTTTATTCCTTTAGATGGTACTGTAACAAGAAAGATGGTATCACCAGTAGAGGATAAAATAAAATAAAGATTAATATTTTTTACTAAACAGCAAAAAAGCATAAAGTTAAACAGAAATCGACATTAGTCTAACTACATAAGCACAATAACAAAGTAAAGTTGAGTGTTACAAGATACAAATAGAGATCCCTGAATGAATAATAATTATAAACCCGTGGAGAGATAAATGACAATTTACGGATAAGAATGAAAGCTTTGAGAATAAATAAATGAAAAGAGATGAAGAATATGGTCATCCCATGACAAAGGTATAAAAACATGCCATTGACGGTACAACAACATCAAATTAAAACCATAGTAGTAGTATGACAGACTTTATGGATGATTAAAGGTCATCAACTGAGGTCAAGTCAGCTTTTTCGGAGAAGAAGTAGGCACAACTTGATATTCTTCATGAGGTTTCTTATTTTTCTAACCCACTAACAAGTAGCTTTGATGTCATGGTGGCATTAGGACCTTACCTAGGTAAATTAGAACTTGTGTGCGTTCTAAAAAAGTAATATATCAAAACCTGTAACCATTTTTTATCAAGAAGTGTATTCAAATAGAAAGTCTAGACAAAAGTAAGAAAAAAAAAAAAAGGAGAAACATTAAAAAGCCATATAGTATGCTATCATCTTCCATATATGATAATATATTATTAGAAGATAGTTTTTTTCATTCACCAGCATCTTTAAAAAAGAAGTATGCAAATGAAATTTCATTTCTACTTAATTGAAACATAGACATCAACCAAATACAGTGATATCTAATGCCAAATAACTTGAATGCTAAAAAAAAACATATCATTTGGCAAATAACACTGAACCAAGCACATAGTATTTTACATACATAGATATAATAACTAAAAGTTTTTAATTTGGCATATGAATTAGCTAACTTAGCCGATTTCAGTCATAAAATTTAAAAATTAAATCGATCTCAAGCTAAATCAAACCCAAACTTTAATTTGGTGAGTTTGATTCTAATTTGGACGAATGAACAAAATTAAAACTAATTTTAACAATGATCTAACAAATTGTAGCTAAATAACATATATGAATAAGAATACCAAGTACAGTTTGATAAATTTTTTACTAATTTATATGTCATCAACAAATTTAGTCATTTAGCATGAATCTCAAAATATTTTTTGAGCAAGAAATATTCAAACTTAAATTAAAAATCATCCATAACCCTGATGTTAACAACTTACAACCAAATTAACCGGCTCGACAACAAAGATCCAAAGACACAAAAATTAACTCAATCTATGTTAAATCAAGCCCAAATCAAGTCATTAAACCACTTTTAAAAGTTTTGAGTGGCTAATTGGAAGTTCAAATGAATTTCAAATTTGGCAAGCTTATAGCCAAATCAAGCTTCTCGATAAGACGAATCCAACGAGCCTAATATCACTCAATTCTAATATTGTTAAGGCTCTCAAATGTCCACGGAATGTCTTTCGATATAGGTAATCTCTTCGTGTTGTCCGATGAAATGGTTTGGATTTTCTCCTTTTTGGCATGCATAATTAATAATATCCATGCTAACTTTTATGCCACTACCTTATTTATATGGCATTACTAACTTTATATTTGAAAAGAATAAATAATAAATTTTAATCTTCATCAATTAGTAAAAACAAAAACCAAATCAATAACAAAAAAAAAAAAAAAATCAAATTTATAATCAACAACCAAACCCATACTCGTAAAAAAATTAACCAAACCAACTAAAAAAATAGGTACAATTTAGTTTTTAAGTGTTATACAAACAATGCACACCCCTAGTAATAACATGATAACGTCAACCTAATAATAAAAATGAAAGAAAGGATCAAAAGGTTATTTGACTAATTCATTAACACGTGCTATTTAAGGAATGCACAAATGCGCTATCTAGATATCACACAAAATATGCACATCTAGACACTAATTTATCATAAAAACAAACAAATCACATAAAATTTGATAAATATCACTGAAACTAACAAAAATCATTTGTCAAACAAAACTAAAATCTTGCTAACGTTGAAATAATGATAAATGTGAATCAATAGCTCCTAAAACTCGAAAAACCTCAAGATGAAAAGCTACTGACCCAATCTAACCTCCATATGAAAAGGAAGGGTGCCCGTTAAATCTAAAACACTGCTCAAAAACCTAAAAACCAATAAAAGGAGGCTCCTATTCACAACTAAACTCGCAACAATGAATTTCTCAAATAGAATACAAAAAGCATCACAAAATTAACATACGACACACAATTTTACAATCCCTTCCCCTAAATCACCCTTCAAAACAAGTATATCATAAAATTAAGCAACAGCCCCAAAATTAACATAAAGCATAACATAACATAACAAAAAACCAGAGATAAACCTGCACAAATCCACCCACTAACAATGCTAACACGAACAAAACAATTAATTACAATACTCTTACCAAACACGTTTCAAAAAAAACCCTAGAAAACACAACGCACAACCAAAAAGCTAAAATGGAAGAAAACTCGAGATAACATACCTCCTCGGGAAAAGAACGATTCCAAAGAGGACAGCGCGGCGATCTCCAATCGAAGGCAGGTCAGCGGCTCCGCGCAAGATCCGCGACAAATTAACGAAGCTAGAAAGGAGAAGGGGAGGAGAAACAAGAGGAGGAGACGGGGAGATCCCGACGTGGACGGTTTGAAGATGCCCTCAAGGGTGGAATATATGGGGGAAGAAACCAACCGAATTACAGGTACACCGAGAATCGCTCACATATTAAATAAATAAAAAGATTTAAATGCATACCACTCAATTCATACATATTTACATATCCAACACCTTCAATTTCTTCATGTATGCCAACAATTATCTTATTAATCAAACTCATCATATTATAAAGGAAATATATTGCATAAAATTATTATTCAAGGAAATAATTAATATCAAACTCAAATTAATAAGATAAATTATTCAATCATAATTATTTATCAATAATAATCTGCGTTGCATCTTATTACAATAAAATTATGCAAAGATTTAAGTTTTAATAATATGATACAAAGCAAAACTTCACATGATAAGTCGTATTAATATTATTTCAAGTTAGTCATGAAAAAAATTAAAAAAAATAAAAATAGATAAAATAAAATTTTATTGTTTTATGATTATAAACAACAAAGAATCAAATGAAAGTATATGATAATTTACTCTACAAAATAAAAAAAAAAAAAAAAAAAAAGTTAATGGGACGACATCTTTAAGTTGAGGCTAAGATATTGATAAATATATCATATTGACAAACATGTTATATTCATGCACCCATTTGCAAATATCACTGCAAAATATTCTTTTCACGTGGTTTTCACTTAACCATCTATTGTCACCTTCCAAAGATAGTTTTCCACATAACAAATTGTCGCAATGATTAACTGAAAATGCAGACAATTTATCCCATTTAATTTTCATGAAAACATTTGATGTTTCTTGTCGACACTGATGTATTTCATTCGAGATCTCATTCAAAAGATCGACGCCATGCCACTGAGTTGACTCTTCACGTAGCAACATGAATCCCGCGATATATTTGGATAAAACATGCCCTCCACTTGAAGCTATTTGGAGATAATGTAATCCAACATCAACTCTTTCTCGAATCAACAACTCCTCCTACAATGTTTAGATATTTGTATTAATGGGCATTATTTTATAATATACAACTATAATATAAATGAATGTTGAAAATTATTGAAAATTGTATTATAAAAATTTAATAAATAATTATTGCTTACCAATCCAAGCCAAAAGAGAGCATTGGTATTTTCGCAATCAGCACAACCCTGAATAAATCTTAGATATCTTTGCTTATCGTACCAACTCTTTTTCCAATTTTCAACAGCCATATATTTTCTTACTCTTTTTGATGAACATGCGGCATGAAAATTCTTGCATCTATATAGAAATCAATATTATGATTAAATATATCATAGACTCATAGTTATATGAATGAAAAAATAAAGCAAAATTAGTAAAAATGACAGTTTTATAATAAATAATACTTACGTTATCAAAGAATTTCCAATATTGTTGATGGATGATTGAGAGGCATAAATTAGCAAAATTTCCTCCAAAGTATCTTGTGGAAGTGAATAAATGAGAGACTCGCTTGCTTCTTCCTTAAAACTCTTGCTTTTCATGTTTGCTCCAACCTTAATGATTAAAATCTTACTATCTTTAGAAAATGAAGACAAAAATGATAAGATTAATGTAGCTTTATAGCAAAATAAAAATATAATATATAATGAAAATTTATTAATAATAACATAATTTTATGATAAAATAATTTAGCAAGCATGTCAAAGTGTAGAAACTTTAAATTACTTAAAATTATATTAATTATTGCTCTTATTTAGCATGGGTTTGTTTATTTTGGTTTGTAAATTAAGTAAATAAAATAATACTTTAATTAATGATCTAGTTGTCATGATAACCACCTTTCATTTATATTAAGATTACTAATTAATTACATATAATAAAATTTAAAAATTATATATATATATATATAATGATATTATTTATCAAAATGATATTCGAATCATAGTTTAACTATAAATTTGGAATATGAATTTTTTACAATGCTAAATTCTTATTTAAATAAAAGAAATAATTGAAGTTGAAAGATGCCATTTAGGAATCTCATATAAAGATAATATATGTGAAATAAACATATATTATTATATTGCTTTTGATAATTAGATTATATAGAGAAGATAGTTTTTTTGATATATGATATTCTTTTTTGCCAATCGAGACATTGATAATAAATTATTTTAATTAGTTTTTTAAAAATTCTAACTTTCTCTCACAGAACTTATGCAGCATAAACAGTTAGTAAAAAAATCATATTTTATATATCGATAATTTAATTTATTTTAATCAAAATTTACAGCAGAGAAATGAGATTAAATTTTATTTCCTATAAAATTAGACATTTAAGAATATTAAAATTAGTAGTATTCAGATAAATTCTATTGTCCATGATATATATATATATATATATAAAGTTATTATCAGGCTCTTAGGCCCATATTTTTAATCCTTGATATTAATATATTTTATTTTAAATTAAAATATTAATAAAAAAATAAAATTTAATAAAGTATGCATTCAATTAATAGTTATATATTAATTTATGAAAATACATTCACTTATAATAAAAATTGTCAATATAACTTATGAAAATATGAAATATTTAAAAATCACGTCATATAAAATGATTTTCCACACATTAATCAAACTTAAAACAATAATAAAATCAGATTCTTACCTGCGTAATCCACAAATCCTTAATCTCTGAAGAAAATGAATGGAAAAGAGAAACATGGCTGCTTTGAACTGCTGCAGAACTGAAAAACTGATGCGAGCGGAAGATGTTTAAGCTTAAGAATTTATAGGCCTCTTTTTTCTCCATCCTCACATAGCCTTAAGTTGTGTGGCGGTTGCTTATTATAGAATAGGTTTCTAAAAAAGGAGAGATGACAATGAATTAGCGGTTTATTTATGGAAGGTGAACTTTTCGGCCAATCTAGAATTGTCTTTTAGAATTTTTTAAGACAATAAATAATAAATTTATTAGATTTATTTTAAGGTAATTAAAATAAAACTTTTTATTAATTAATTATATTTATAAATATATTTGAATTAGTGAAAATAATTTTGTTATAATATGATTTGTGTGTTTATTATGTTAATTGTATTTTTAAAGTTAATCTATTGAATCAAACTCTCATTAAAACATAATTAAAATAAATTTCATAATAATTAAAAATTTTAAAATAAATATTATATATATATATATAATATAATGTAATATGAATGAGTTGATATTATATGACATGCTTAATAAAAGCCAGAATTAGATTTGATATCTAATTCTGGTTTATTTTAAGCAAGTAAAAGCCACAATTAGACTGATTTCAGACAAGTTAACATAATAAGTAATTAATAAATCTGATTTTATTAAAACAATAATAAAATTAGATTCTTACCTGCGTAATCCACAAATCCTTAATCTCTGAAAAAAATTAATGGAAAAGAGAAACGTGACTGCTTTGAACTGCTGCAGAACTGAAAAACTGATGCGAGCGGAAGATGTTTAAGCTTAAGAATTTATAGGCCTCTTTTCTCTCCATCCTCACGTAGCCTTAAGTTGTGTGGCGTCTGCTTATTATAGAATATGTTTATAAAAAAGGAGAGATGACAATGAATTAGCGGTTTATTTATGGAAGGAGAACTTTTCGGCCAATCTAGAATTGACTTTTAGAATTTTTTAAGAGAATAAATAATAAATTTATTAGATTTATTTTAAGGTAATTAAAATAAAACTTTTTATTAATTAATTATATTTATAAATATATTTGAATTAGTGAAAATAATTTTGTTATAATATGATTTGTGTGTTTATTATGTTAATTGTATTTTTAAAGTTAATCTATTGAATCAAACTCTCATTAAAACATAATTAAAATAAATTTCATAATAATTAAAAATTTTAAAATAAATATTATATATATATATATAATATAATGTAATATGAATGAGTGGATATTATATGACATGCTTAATAAAAGCCAGAATTAGATTTGATATCTAATTCTGGTTTATTTTAAGCAAGTAAAAGCCACAATTAGACTGATTTCAGACAAGTTAACATAATAAGTAATTAATAAATCTGATTTTATTAAAACAATAATAAAATTAGATTCTTACCTGCGTAATCCACAAATCCTTAATCTCTGAAAAAAATTAATGGAAAAGAGAAACGTGACTGCTTTTTCAGACAAGTTAACATAAATTGTATTTTTAAAGTTAATCTATTGAATCAAACTCTCATTAAAACATAATTAAAATAAATTTCATAATAATTAAAAATTTTAAAATAAATATTATATATATATATATAATATAATGTAATATGAATGAGTGGATATTATATGACATGCTTAATAAAAGCCAGAATTAGATTTGATATCTAATTCTGGTTTATTTTAAGCAAGTAAAAGCCACAATTAGACTGATTTCAGACAAGTTAACATAATAAGTAATTAATAAATCTGATTTTATTAAAACAATAATAAAATTAGATTCTTACCTGCGTAATCCACAAATCCTTAATCTCTGAAAAAAATTAATGGAAAAGAGAAACGTGACTGCTTTGAACTGCTGCAGAACTGAAAAACTGATGCGAGCGGAAGATGTTTAAGCTTAAGAATTTATAGGCCTCTTTTCTCTCCATCCTCACGTAGCCTTAAGTTGTGTGGCGTCTGCTTATTATAGAATATGTTTATAAAAAAGGAGAGATGACAATGAATTAGCGGTTTATTTATGGAAGGAGAACTTTTCGGCCAATCTAGAATTGACTTTTAGAATTTTTTAAGAGAATAAATAATAAATTTATTAGATTTATTTTAAGGTAATTAAAATAAAACTTTTTATTAATTAATTATATTTATAAATATATTTGAATTAGTGAAAATAATTTTGTTATAATATGATTTGTGTGTTTATTATGTTAATTGTATTTTTAAAGTTAATCTATTGAATCAAACTCTCATTAAAACATAATTAAAATAAATTTCATAATAATTAAAAATTTTAAAATAAATATTATATATATATATATAATATAATGTAATATGAATGAGTGGATATTATATGACATGCTTAATAAAAGCCAGAATTAGATTTGATATCTAATTCTGGTTTA